AACACCCGCTATTGGGGATCAAGCCCACAACCGGGCCTGCGCCCTTGCCTGAAATCGAACCCGGGACCCTTCAGTCCCCAGGCCGATGCTCTACCCACTGACCAAAACAGGCCAGGGCGGCACTTTGTTTTCTACACGACAATCGAAGGAGGAGATGTAAGGGGCCTTCAGACAATCCACTGGTGATAGATGAGGGAGGGAGGGAGGGAGGGAAAGGTGGGTTAAAGTGGGGTGGGGAGTGGCGTGGGGGTGGGGGTGGGGAACCTCTGGGATTGGATAAAAAGTGAAATGAGCCCTGGCCTGTGTTGCGCAGTGGGTAGAGAGTATCGGCCTGGGGACTGAAGGGTCGCGGGTTCGATTCCCGGTCAAGGGCACACACCCGCGTTGCAAGCTTAAAAACAAAAACAAAAACAAAAAGTGAAATGATAGCCCTAGCTTGTAGGCTCAGTGGATAGAACATCAGCCTGCGGACTGAAGGGTCCCAGCTTTGATTCCGGTCAAGGGCATGTGCTCAGGTTGTGGGCTTGATCCCCAGTAGGGGGCATGCAGGAGGCAGCCAATCAGTGATTCTCTCTCATCATTGATATTTCTATCTATCTCTCTTCCTCTCCCTTCCTCTCTGAAAGCAATAAAATATTAAAAAATAATAATAAATAACCTTAGCAATTCAGCTATTTAAAAGTAATTTAATATTAAGATTATAATTTATTAAATTGAATGATGAAAAAGAATAAATAGCAATCTAATCTTATCTAGAAAAATAAATGTATTCCATTTTTATCATTTATTTCTCTATTGTAATCATATCAAATAGTTTCTCTTCCATGTTACATATCTATATCTATTTAAATACATGTTTAAACAAAATTCTTAGTGTCTTTACCAATAAGTTTAGACAAAATATTAAAAAAAATTTCTTGATGTTTATAGTTGAAATGAAACAACAGAATTTATTAGGAAATATTTTGGATAGCTGAAGTGAAATTTAAGTTATTACATTAAAAGAACAAAGACCTACTTCAAAAGCACATAATAGTCAAGATTTTAGTATTTTTCACACATAGCATTATTATCTAAGGCAACATCAATATAACAGCAAAATTTAGTTTTTAAAAAATTTAAGTTTCTAATATACCATACCAGCTCTTCTTCTCTCTTTTTACTTTGATATATTGCTTTATCCCTCCATTTATGTAGTGTTATTATTAGCTTCTTATTGTGGAATATCTGTTGTATCCGCAATAGTGCATCTACAGAAAATTTATTAGATTACTGTATATAGTTAAAACTGTTTCCAAAAAAGTATTTAATATTCTATCATGTTTGTAATATGAACTAATGTTGTATCTAATAGTTTTTGTTTGGTTTTAATTACATCTGAAATTATTTTTTACGCAGTAGATAGTACTCCTGAGACTTTATTAAACTTTAAATATCACCTTTCCCTTAGAAATTAAGATGTAATAGATGTAAATAAAACGTCAATATGTATATACACAAATATGTATAATTTCTTTTTTAAACAAATGTGTTCTTTATAAAACCAGAACTTCTGCGTGGCCAGCACGGCTCAGTGGTTGAGCATCGACCTATGAAGCAGGAGGTCACAGTTGGATCCGGTCAGGGCACATGCCTGGGTTGTGGCTCAGACCCCAGTAGGGGGCGTGCAGGAGGCAACCGATCAATGATTCTCTCTCAGCACTGATGTTTCTATCTCTTTCTCCTTCTCCCTTCCTCTCTCTAAAATTAATAAAATTATTCTTTTTAAAAGAACTTCCAAATTTATTCATAGAAACACAATCATGAAGTAGTATTTTTTAAATATATTTTTATTGATTTCAGGGAGGAAGGGAGAAGAAAAGAGAGATAGAAACATCAATGATGAGAGAGAATCATTGATTGGCTGCCTCCTGCACACTCCCTACTGGGGATCGAGCCCGCAACCTGGGCCTGTGCCCTTGAACAGAATCAAACCTGGGATCCTTCAGTCTGCAGGCCAACACTCTATCCACTGAGCCAAACTGACTAGGGCATGAAGTAGTATTTTGATTTAGTTAAATGCCCTATGATTAAATAGGCTGATATATATATTTTAGCTAGGGGTTCAAAGTTCAGGGGGCCAGGAAGGAGGATGACTAAGGCAGGCCTGGGGACTCCGCTCACAGAGGGCAGTGGCTTTTTTAGAGCCCATTCCCCTGGTGTTAAAACCTTCAGAGGATCTACTGTGACAGCAGCCATCAAGGGGGCATGATTCTTGTGATTTGCAGCAGCCATAAACAAGCAGTCTCTGGTGAGCTGGACAAAATCTAAGAGGCTATAGTTCTCTATCCCTGCTCTTAAGATTACATACATGCACTGTCCACTCATTACAACCATCAAGGATTTAAGCAGAAGAAATTTATTTTTCCTTAGGTTTCCTCATGTATCCATTAAATGCAGTATCTATAAAGAATGCAGAGCTCTCTACAAAAGATAGTCAATTTTGAAACCTATCTGTAATATACCAGCTCTTTGTTATGTAAAGAAAGGTCACAGTAGGTCCCTATTTACATTTACATTTATATTTATTTATATTTTATATTTATATTTATTTATTATATGTGTGTACATCACAAAAATACATACAGAATTTTGTTTAAAATATGCCTTGAGACAAATCTTATTAAATACTTTAAATTAGTGGCTTTATGTTTCATGACAATTCTCTAGACATAAAAATAATAAATTATCAATAGAGACAGACTTCTAGATAGAGAGCAGACTGACAGCTCTGGAGGGCTGCAGGGTGGAAGGATTGAGCAAAAAAGAAAAACAAAGAGAAAGGACTTGTGGACATGGACAACAGTGTGGTGATTGTCGGGGGGAGGGTGGGGGGAGGAAGGTACAGGGAGAATAAATGGTGATGGAAAAAATAAAATATATTTTTAATAATAATAATAATGAATTCCTTAGTATAAATTATGCTTAACTATTATTTTTTTATTCTTTGAATACAGGAATATAGAAAATAATTGCTACTGTGTAAGGATTTACCTTTAATTTGTTCTTTTAGACTTTTCACATAAGAGTGCCAGGGATAAAATACGTATTTTTGAAGTTTTAAATTGTCATATTTAATTGCTATTTCCATTTTTTTAGCTATAATGTCTTCTTCCCTTATGCGAGGAATTGCTATGTCTTTCCAACCGCTATAGGCAGAAAATAGAGAAAATAATATTTTAATGTTATGGCAATATATTTCTAAATAAATTGAGAGGGAGAAAAAGTAATACCTCCTCAAAAACCACAGCACAGAAATAACTTATTTTTATTGCTTTGTTTCTAGGCCGTCCTTGCATTTTCTTTGAGCTTGCACTTCCCTTGTCTACATTTCTGAAGCCCAGAAAACTCTTAAATCCAAAAGTTTTTTCATAACCTATATAGAGGCAAAACTAGACCTGGTCTAGGGTAATTTTGCATCAAAATCTCTCTGCATCTGACACATGGCTGGTCAACGTCTTTCTTCATTTCACAGTTAGAGTATATATCTATCTGACTATAGAAATACTAATATATTCAAATATGTTTTGTTCCAATGTGCTGCCCCAGACACCACTAAAATGTTATATAATAACCATGGTCTATACAGAGATTACCTGTCTAAATTTTCTCTTAAAGGAATCTCAATTCCAAAACACATCTGGCTCCAAGGGTTCCAGGTAAGAGAATTATGGACCTCTATTTTCAATTTTGGAGTTTTACGTAAAAACTAGAGGCCCGATGCACAAAATTCTTGCAAGGGGCTCGGCCTCTGCCACCACGGTGGCCACCTCTGCCTCGGCCCTCGCAGCCCCGGCTTCATCCGGAAGGTCGTCCGGAAGGACATCCGGTCTAGTTAGCACATTATGCTTTTATTATTATAGATAAAAAAGACAAAGTGATACCTTGAAGAAATAAAGAACATATTTTAAGTAACTATAACTAGAGATAAAATCAGCACAACTGGCCAAAAGTGAGCTTTTCTCCATATGGAGACTATCAAGAATAAGAACACAAAGAGGAAGAAATAGTATATAAAAACTCATGTTCATACCTGAAGTGGCTCTTTACTAAATGTCCGGTGTAAAAAGTGCATGCTTTTATCATCAAGTCTGGAGT